CATTATATTAGAGACCACTTGTTGACCACCCATATCTTTCTGGCTCTCATCATTTCTGTGTCAGTGATGACTTTCTAATGCCATCATCTGTGATCTCTGCCTGTAGGTTTTCATGAGCTGTTTGTGCATGCCTTGGTCTGCATACGGGGCTAGGGAATGAACACTCACCGGAACAGCTTTTGACTAATAACCTAGTGGTTGGACAATTACCCCAGCTTTATAACCTGCCTGATGAGTTACTCTTGAGCCCTAATGCCCACAGCTTCCTGGATGTCTCAGGTACCCCATTTGCCCACTCTTTATTAGCTTTCTTTTTCTCCCTGTGTCATCCCCAGTCCTCACTGGTGCTCCAAGGAATCACCTACCCTGGAAACTATTTGCACTCAAGTCCTTGTCTCATTTGGGAAAACCCCACTTTAGCCATCCTTTCTATCCAATTCTTGCCACAGCCCTCTTTGAGAGAAGTGTTATCAAAGTATTCCAGTGTAGCAGTTGTACAGGCTGGGAGCAGAACACTGGAGTAGATATGAAGTAATTTGTCATTCACTTAGTTTTTTGTTTGTTTCCATGCCAGCAGCCATTGTGCCTGTTTGTATCTTTCCTGTGATTCACCACAGACATTTCCTGCAAATGATAGCTCCTCTCTTCATCACAGAAACCTCCAAATAAGACTGTCTTTGTCTTTGGTCTACAGCTGAACTTTGGTGCCAGTTCCTTGCAGTAGACTGTATTACTAACAATAACAGCAACGATACCATTTAGTGAGCATTTGATGTCTGCCAGACTCTTTATTATATAGGTAACTTGTATAATTTAGTTGAGTGGTCACAACATAGTGTAAGGACAGTGTTATTATTTGCTTTTTATAATAAGAAAACTGAAGCCCAAGGAGTTATGGGCTCAGCACACTCCTGCTGTGTAACTCTCTTATCAGCCAGAAGGTTATAATTTACTCATTCCTTAGCTTGGATTCGAAGCCAGGGATTTGGCTAGATTCTCCATTAGCTCTTTGGCCATATCACCTCCAAGTTTTCTCAACTTTCTCTCCTTTTGAGTCACTAAGTCTCATCACACACAAATTTCTTTTAAGACCCAATATTAACATGATATACTTTAGGGGTCAGCAGGTGGTATGTGGTTAGGTGCTGGTCTCCCACATGGCTGATGATCAGCCATGGTTCAAGTCCCATATCCTGTGGCTTGAAAACCATGCTGGGTGCCTGTGTGTGCATGCTTGCTCAAAATCTCAAGAGGAGGTTGGAGGAGAAGGGACTGTGGCATGGTCATCCCCCTGGGAGATGATTTCTTACTTTCCCTTTCCCTCTCACTGTCTCTCTGGAGAGCACATGTACCCTATGGCAAAAGTCTTTTAAAAATGATATATGGTAGTTATAAAGTTTCTGAAATTTTAGCCAAAAAGAGTGGAAACCCTTTAGTAATGAGAAACAATAAACGAATACTTAAATGTAATTGTACATGGAACATTTCTGAATACAAGATATGAAAAATAGCAGCCCTTAACACTTTTATTTTCCCCAAATTGGTTCTTAAGGTTTAAAAAACAATGTTTATCATGACTGCTCATGGGTGTGAATCTTAGGGGAAAAAATGCTTCCCTCCCCAAGAGAGTTAACATTACTAGATATTTCCAAAACTGCACAGTGTTCCTTGTTTCTACTTCCACCTATCCCTACGTTCCAACAGAAGTAGAAGAACCACAGAGCAAACTGCCAAGTCATGAGGGGGAAGATGGTGCTTATTAAGCCAGAGCCTCGCTGAGCAACCCCAGCTTGCCTTTCCCTCAAGGTGAAAAGCCCTCTTGTTGAATTATCTGTTTCAAAGATCACACACATCAGACTGAGGCTCATTCTCCCACCTCGTTGATGTCAAACAACCCCCCAAGGATCAAACTGTCACTAAGAATTCTCTATCTTCTACCTATGGGAAAACTATATTCTCCCCTTAGTTTCATGAGGAAACACACACACACACACACACACACACACACACACACAGACGATAATAACACCTAGGGAAACACATATAAGCATTTCATAGTTGAAAGTAAATTAATCAATTGGAGTCAGTGAAATATGTACACTGTTTACTGTTTGAGTATATACAGAGAGATGGTTAGGGAAGCTCCCATTCTGGGCAAATTATAACATAATAAAGGGGTCATTTGTTGTTCCCAGAGTAATTTTGCTAATTGGCTAGGATAATTACCTTTTTACTTTTCTATTTTTTAAAAAAATTATCTTTACATGATTATGAAAGAAAAATAATATGCTAAAACTTACTGAACGATAGGCCTTGTTATTAAGTATTTCACATCTATGTCTAGTTTAATACTTACAACAATGCTGTAAAATAGGTAACATTGTCTTTGTTTCATAGATAAGGAACTTAAATGATCAGAGTTTATTTTTTTATATTTTGCCCTGAGGGTGCCTTCACCATACATGAAAGATGGAATCACCCAGCATGTTTTATAAGCTACCAGGACTGGGAATTGAACCATGGTCAGCCATATGGAATTGGTTTCCTCTGCACAATGCATAACCTCTCTGGCCTAGATTAAAAAAAAAAAAGGGGGAACCAGCAGTTAGCGTAATGGCTATGTCACTGGACTCCCACGTAGTCGACTGCGATTCGCGTCCCGGACCCAGTGGCTTAGAACTCACGTCAGACGCGTGTGCGTGTGTGCCCAAGATCCCGAGAGGAGAATGGAGGAGAAGGGATTGCAGCGTGACCATCCGCCCTGGGGGGTGATTTCTCACTTTCCGTCTCTATGTCTCTCTCTGTCTGGTGAGTGCACGCTTTCTGTCTCTCTCTCTGTCTGTCTGGCTAGTGCATTCGCCCAATAGGGAAACCCTCTAAAAAAAAAAAAAAAGTAAAAAAAAAAAATGTTAGTATTACACAGCTCAAATATGTAGCTGAGTGAGAATTTGAACCCAGGCCGTCTGTCTCTAGAGTCCAAGCTATACTATGTTCTTAAATAGGTTAACAGTTAAAAAGTCATAGTGGAGTATTGTTGAAAAATGTGGACAAGCGTAAAAACAATTTTTTGATTCACTTATAATCTCAACACCTAGAAATAAGTAATTTAATATTTTGATGTAATGGCTGTAATATAAATTTTATATAGTTTTTATAGTTTTGGTATCCCATGAGAAAGCATGTATGATTTTTCAGCAAATTTGACAATATATTTGGGATGAACTAACCTAAACTATAGACTGTGTGTTATACAAATTCTACTTTGGAGGCTCCATTGGGCATCTCTAAGATCTGGATAATCCTTTGGATTTTTTTTTTAATTGTTTTTTTGTTTGTTTGTTTTTTGGAAAAATCTCAAACCAAGGTTAAAACGATACCTTGCTATGACCACCATTTGGGAAAGACCATTCATATATACTAAGAAATTATGGGTGGAGAAACCAACTGTGGCTTCATATATGAGCCTTGAACTGAAAACCACAAGTAAAGATGTTCTGAACTGAAGATACCAATTTCCAACCACGTTGTTTTGGGTCTTGGTTTTTGTGGTTGTTGTTTGTTTTTGCATGAGCTATGCCATAGAACATGATTTAGAGTGAGGGGAAATGTGTCTTATTCAGTCTTACCTAATGATGGTAATGCTACTCCACACCCATTCCTGCCAACATAGCACAGTTCTTGTTACTAAGTTGCTAGTAGTTCCATATTTAATATTTCTGAGCTTGTACTCTCTTATTAGTTAGTTAAGAGAGTGTGTATTAGTGCAGGGATATTTGCTTACTTGGTCAGTTCTGCTCCAAATCCAGTTAGAATGTTGGTATAAATGCTACTTCCCCATTTTTTCATCACCTATGAACTGATTTAAGTGCATCATAGTTTTAGGCTAGGAAAAATTCATTATACCAATATATCACAGATATGTTCCATGATACAAAAATTCTCTGAGATACTCTGAGAAAAGAGTTTCCACAGTCAAATGTATTTGGGAAACAAAAGTCTCTCGTGGTGATTCAAACTATGTATTAGAAAGGCAAATCACTCAGAAGTATTTATTGAATTTATTTGGTTATGTTTTCTAGTTCTTCCTCTCTTCCTTTCTCCTTTTCTCCCTCCCTTTCTTTTTATTCTCCCTTTACTTTCCTTTTAGCAATTACTTATCTAGGACTCCATGGGAACGATTTTGGGAAAACCCTGTACTTATCTGTTTTAAAAAAGTTTGCAGGGACAAATGCTTAATTTTCTTTGTAATTTATGAAGAGGTTGAAAGAATTATTTCAAGACATGTAAGTATCACAATAGAAATGATAGCTCTGGATTCACGCCAAGTGGGTTCGAACCCTGACTCTTATGATTCCTGCCTGAGAGAGTGTGAGTAAATGTATCCATGCCTCAGCTGCCATATATGAAAGTGGAGGTAGTACCATTGCGTTGTCAGAAAACTCATGATGTATTTTTACATAGAAAACCATAGAAAAAAATACATCATGACTTTTATGAAAACCCAATAGTACTTCTCTCAAAGTGATTGTAATGATTTGATCAGTTAAAATAGACAGACTTCAGAGCATAGCAACTAATGCATAGAAGCAATGTTAGATATTAACACTATTAAACATAATCTCTTCCACAATTGCATAGTCAATATAAAATTAGAGGTGACACACAGTCATATGAAAGATGTGGGAGACAAATGAACAGAGAGAAAGGAATTGCATATTTGAAATCTCTATATTGATAACCCCCAACAGTGGGCCATATGTAGCATTTTTTTTTTGGGAGGGGGGAGAGTCAATTCTGGAAGGTATAATGCAATAAAATCCTCCCAGTGAGGGCTATGGGTCAGTACTGTTAGGGTATTTTGTAGGCTCATGCAGAATTTTTTGCGTTTTACTCAAAAGTCCCTGGAAGTCTTCATCTTTTTTTGTCCTCCCATGAGAAATCACAGAAGGAAGAAAATTCCCACTCTCTGAAGCTGGTGAGCAGAAAACATCATTCCCTACCTGAATGGGTAGGCAAACGCTATGTCAATGCTGAGGTTACTTTCTGTCTTGTTGATGCAGTCCACACTTAGCCGCAGGCCTCCGGAATAACCACCGCATGTTGCAAATGCAAAGATTGCAAAAAGCTGTGAAGAACAAATAAAAGAGAAGGCAGCTCTTAGGACAACATCAGTCAGATAAGATCTATCAATCGGAGCTTACTGTCTAGATTATAGGAGACTGTGGTCCTTCTGAAGACCAGCATCATATTTGGTTCTGGCTGGAGGATGAAAGGTAGAATCATAGTGGAGACTGGAGAGGTGGTATCTAGCAGAATAGTCTGGCGAGCTATAGAAACGTCCCTTGGAGAATAATTAAAGACAAGGACAAAGTAACTCTTTTCAAGTGTGCAAATAGCTCTCACGCTTCAGAGGGTAGAGATGTAATCCCACAAAGATCTGGAAAGCAATGCATAATGGTTAACAATGGATGTCTTCAGGCAGGAAGAATTTGAGGTGTCTCTTTGTTTTCTTCTTTTTATTTGGCTGTATTTTCTGCAATACACGTTTTTATCTTTCAGAATAATATAGATAAATTTTTAAACAGGCATAGTCTGAGAATTCTAAAGTTAACATGTTGAGGAAGAGTAGGTGAGTATCTAAGAGGTGCTATTTCAGAGCACAAGATCTCAGTATAGTTCAGCCGTGAACCTCTGTTGGTGGTTATATGTCTGTTAGTTGTCATCTCTAAGTCAGCCGTCAAAATTTTCAATTGATGGGCCAGCAAGTGGTGTGGTAGTTAAGGCACTGGATTCCCACATGGCCAACTGTGGTTTAAGTCCTAGACCTGATGGCCTGAAAGTCATGCTGGGCACGTGTGCATGTGTGCCTAAAATCCTAGGAGAGGAATAGAAAAGAGGAGATTGGGGTATCCTCCTTGGGGGGGGGCGTGTGAATTCTTACCGTCCCTCTCTATCTCTCTCCAGTGAGCTTACATGCCCTATGGCAAAAACCAAAACTTAAAAAAATAAGATAAAAAAGGTTTCAACATAGAAAGCCAATATCAGAGCTTATCATGATGTAGAGCATGAATCTGTAAAAAACAAACAAACAAACAAACAAACAAAAAAAACAAAAAATCCCGACACCGAAAATTAGGAGCAGGAACTCAGAGAGGTCTTCTAGAAATAAAGAAACCTAGAAAGCAGGGAAGGGGGTGGGGAAGGTGGCCTAAGAGAGAAGTAAACACATGCCAGACTTTGTTTACTAAATAGTTTGGCTAAAATTGAAAGAATTTTTTGCCTGCCTTCAAAGAAAGTTTATCAGACACACTTAACTAACGTATGCTGCAATATCTGATTTATTTTAATTTTGCAATTCATCTCTTTGCAGTAGCTTCGGGTCCTTAGAAATACTAGTTCCCTTTGCATAGCGAGAGGGTAGTTATTATGTAGGAGTGAAATGCATGCATTCTGGACTATGATCTTGGGAAAGTTGCTTTATTTCCTCATGCCTTGGTTTCTTCATAATAAAATTGCATCAATATTAACTTCCCAGGTCATTTTTCAATTCATGGTATGAGACAAACAATTGTCTGAGCAAGAAGGCTGTTGGAGTTGGCAAGATCACCAATCTGTCCAGAAAGTTCGGAATGTGAAATGAATATTACATACAACACCTGCTACCTCAGTCTTAACCAGTGGTGGGAGAACATTCTCAGAATTGTTTGTCTCAGTTGGCCACTTAACTTTATTCTGGTTAATGATAATAACACCATATAAAACCTTAACAAAGAAAGCAGTATTTTGTGGACCATTTCTGTTTGTGGTGGCAATTTCAAGTTTTGTTTTTTTTTTCCCTTTAATTTTTAGTTTTTTTGTTTGTTTGATTTTGGTCATAGGGCATGTGCACTCACTAGAGAGAAACAGAAGTCACACCTCACCCCTTTTTCTCCATTCTCCTCTTGGGATTTTGGGTATGCATACACTTGTACCTGCCATGTTTTGCTGGCCCCTGGTCCAGGACTTCAACCACAGAGTTGGCCAAGTGGGATCCAGTGCCTTAACCACATGCCAGCCCATATTATTAGTTTTTAAAATGGGTATTTTCAAAGTGGAAGCAATTCAACCAAAAATTATAGTAGATGTGGTAAGAGCAAAATGTATTACTATGTGTTAGCATTATGTGAAGAATTTAGAACAGATTCTGGCACAGCGTGAGCACTCAATAAATGTTAACAAACATTTTTACTGTCAATAGTGGGTGCTCCTTGATGAGATATCCCAGGCCGTAAAATAGGAAATTTAGATTTAATCCCTCACTAAATCTATACAGCTGCTGTCTCCATTGAACCAATATCCAAGCACTCCAGAAAAGCCGATCCTTTTAGCATTGTGCGCATTTCTCCTTAGTTTATGTAACTGATAGGTTTTGATGAGGTATTCAGAAGCTATTCCAGCCCCGTTCACAATCTGGGGAATGCACTAAAGCTGAGGGAACTCGATCTTTATCCTCCTGGTGTGCATTTGCATATTTTTGTGATCAAATGCTCTCTTCCTATGAGCTATAAGTATTGGTAGAGATAAAGAAAAAATGATTTTAATTGTCCAGTGCTTCTATCTTGGTTACATTTAAATTGCTGGATGTACCAGCCTCTGTGCCATTTCAAGATAGTGTCTTTGGTAAGGCTTCTTCCAGAACAAAGAATGGAGTGATGGAATTCCAAACCTAGTGATGGATGAGAAGACAAACTTGTCTATCTCCAAGTTTCCTCATCTGTAAAACAAAGATATATGCCATTTTACCCTGAATTGCAGAGAAAATTAAATGAGATAAAGTATGTGTTCACGTTTCATCGTGTCCCAATTCCGTAGAAATTTGTGATATTTACACATACGCATTTCTCTGAGGCATGAGTCCTAAGTGTATAATCATCAATGGTACATGTAAAAGTAAGGAAGTATTGTCTATGTGACCTCTTTTTATTTTTTTAATTTGCCCAAGGATATCTCTGCTTGCCAGAAAGAGACAGAGAGACAAGAGAGGGAGAAAGCACCCTTCCAATAGCACATTTGCAGTGCCTTCTCCTCTGTTTCTACATCCTTACAAGATTTATAAGATTTTGAACATGCACATATATTCACTCATCATGTTTTTCTTTTTCTTTTGTTTTTTTGGAGAGGTTTTTGCTACAGGGCGCGTGCGCTCGCCAGACAGACAGAGAGAGACAGAGAGATAGAAAGCGAGAAACCATCCCCCAGGGGGGATGGCCACACCGCAATCCCTTCTTCTCCATTCTCCTCTTGGGATCTTGGGGACGCACGCACATGCGCCCAGCGTGAGTTTAAGCCACTGGGTCCGGGACTCGAACCGTGGTCAACTACGTGGGAATCCAGCAACATAGCCATTACTCTAACTGCTGGTCCCGACCCATCATGTTTTGTAAGCTATTGGGTCTGGGATTCAAACCACATAATCAGCCATGTGGGATCTGGCTCCCTTAACCACTAGGCCATAGGACTAGCTTCATTGTGGCCATTTAAAAAGTGCTTACTAAGGAGCAGCAGATAGTATAATAGTTACATTGCTAGACTCCCACGTGATGACTGCGGTCTGAGTCCTAGACCCGGTGGCTTGAAACTTGTGCTGGGCATGTGTGAGTGAGTGCCCCAAACCCCAGAAGAGAATGGAGGAGAAGGGATTGTGGTGTGGACATAGTCACCCCTGGGAGCGGGGGGGATTTTCTTAGTTTCTGTTTCTCTGTCTCGCTATATTTCTCTGGCAAGCATATGTGCCATATAGCAAAAACATCTCTCTCTTTCTTAAAAAAATATAAATAAATAAAGTGCTTACTATGGGCCAGATACTGTGCCCAGCACATAACATGATAACAATGTTGTGAGTTGATATATGTATATATATATATATGTGTATATATACACACACATATATATATATATATATATGAATGAAGCTCAAAATCTTATCTTAAAGATATGGCAGAATAGCATAATCACTTTCAAAAGTTACACTTAAAAAATTCCTTGGGACATTAAAATGTAGCAAGGTAGACCTGAAGGGCATAAAAACAAATCCTGTTAATTTCAGTACTTAAGAGCTATAAAGAAACTACTTTGACTTATCATCATATCTATATATATATATATACACACACACACACACATACGTGCACACACACAGTAAGGTATTATTAATATTACTATATAATGAACTTAAGATGAAATGATAATTATGTTTCTAACTTGTTCGAAATGTTGGATGCCTGGAAAGAAGGTGTCATGCTATGAAATCATGTATCTTTATTTCTCTTAGCTTCTACTGAGCTCTGACAGCAGAAGACCAGTAATATGATACCTATGGGCTTTCTGGTTAAGTTTCTCTCTTCCCCAATCCTCACTGATTCAAGGGAAATCATACTGTGTGACCAATATCATATTTGCGTGGGTTTGGTGAGGATTAAACAGATAATGTCTGTACAACACTGGAGAAGTCAGATCCTGCTGAGTGAATAACTTATTACAGGGCCGGTTGATTTCATATTTGAGAGCATGAAATCAACTCCTCCAGCGTATATCATCAGGGATCTAGTCCTGTAATTAAAAAACATCAAGACACAGTGAGGAGAGTGGACTAGAGATATGGGGGGAGGGATGTTAAAATTATCTTGGCGTTGCAGAGAAATGTAGGTGGAAGAAAACTTCGGAAATCCTCCCACTAGTTCCCCTCCCGGTACTCTGCCAACCATAGCTGGTAGAGCAGAACAGTTCTGGAGTTAGGCAGGCCTGAGTTTTAGCCCAATCCCTAGTTGTGTGATACTGGGCAAATGACTTCGACTTCACTTCTCTAAATCTCAGTTGACACATCTACTAAATAAAAAAGAATTCACTCAGCAGCGATGTCATGGTATACTTGCTGTACATAAGTTGTTGAGGAAGGAACATAAAGGTGAAAAGACAGTCTGACCATCATGGAATTTCATGCTAGATGGTGAGACCGAACCAAAAAGAATATAAAAATAAGTACAAGTTCTTGGGGACCAACAGTTAACGTAATGGCTATGTCGCTGGACTCCCACGTCAGTCGACCGCGGTTCGCGTCCCGGACCCAGTGGCTTAAAACTCACGCCG